ACATTAATATTGTGGGCACTGTTGGATCTGCTCCTGCTGCTGCCATGTTGGCTGTGTCAGTACCAGTGGCGCGCACGCACACACACAACAGGACAGTATCATGTTGCTACTGCAGCTTCAGGAGGCGATGTTAAGGCCGTAGTCCCTCGTTTACAGTTCACTACCGCCGGTCGGTTGCTATACGTTTACAGCTACGGCTTTATGTGCGAATGCTGAAAGCCGGACTGAAAAACACAAATACTACGTCTCACTGAACACCGAAATACCGCTCACCTTCAGCGTGTACATTCTCTCCCCCTTCTCGTTCAGGTAAAACTGCAGAAACATGGCGGCGGCCGCACAGCAGACGTCCACAAACCGTACAAACTGTGGATATGAAGGTGGTACCGGCTGCTACTTTCTCACAGCGGACGGCAGGACTAAACACACCAACACGTGCTCTCAACTCCTTCCTCCTCTCCCTCGCGCGTTTGCAATATGAGCTCACTTCCGCTCCCAACCCCCGGGCGCACAGTTTGCCGGGTGGCGTCATTTCCGGTCGGGCGCGTTGTTGACCTCGCCTTCTGAGGAACTCCGCCCCCTGGTGCTCGGAGGTAGCAGTTCGTGTCCGGGATTTTCTCTCAGCGGCATGTCTGCGCAGTATCTGCTCTCCCTGTGTCTGACAGCAGTAACAGTGTTAATAGCAGAGGCATTGGTGACATTAGAGAAACAGCCCAGTACTATTAGGAGGAGTAGCAGTACTGTACAAACATGCTCTGGATGTGTCCAGTATCCAAATATAAAATATACTTTGATATTAATAGTTGATGTAATACTACCACTGCAGTTTTTTCCACTTGCAACACTACTAGCAGTCGGTGCATGAACAGAAGATCACAACTATTCATTTTGTTTTTAATTGCTATTTGTGAAGCTCGTTTCCTATTTTTTGGCACAGTGGCCAGCATTGCTGCCTCTCAGTGCTGGCTCCTTGGGTTTAATTCCAGTCTTGGGGTGCTGTCTGTCTGGAGTCTGCATGTTCTCCTCGTGTTTATGTCAGTTTCCTCTGGGCGCTCCGGTTTCCTCCCACAGTCCGAAGACATGCTGGTGGGTTAAGAGGCTTCTGGGAAAACTGGCCTTGGTGTGAGTGTGTGTATCTCTCT